CACCAGCGTGATCCCCCAGGTCAGCACAGTGTGCCCGGTCCGCACCAGGACCCCTGGGCTGAGGAGCGCCCAAGGCGCCATCTCCTCTGCCCGGGGCCCCACCCGGAAGAAGCGCCCGGAGGGGCGGGCCCTTCGAGGGAGAGGGGCCGCGGCCACCCGGGGATTGGTGGATCTTGGAGATAGGCGGGGCCTTATTGGGCCGGGGAGGCTGTCTATTGGATAGCAGCTGCGGCCGCGTAGGCCCTCGAGCCAACAGGTGCCTGAAGAGGCTGAGGGCGGGGCCGGCGCGCGCGCAGCTGGTAACTCCCCCAGCCCCAGCCCCCACCAGCCAGGTAACTTTCGAAAGCCGAGGAGCAGGCGCGAGTCTCGACCCCGCCCCCTTGGGCTCCCACCCAGCCCTCCCCAACCCCACGACCTCGCGCATGCGTACAGTTCTCCGGGCGCTTCCATGTTCAAGGTGTTTGTTGTGACTCCAGGTTGTGGACATGTACTGGTTTCTAGGGTGTGATGCTGAGGTCTCTAGGGGCGCAGGACTCGCCCTCGGATGCTCCGTGGTGACACCCTTACCTCCTTTATTCATTTTTAGATACTGCGAACAGGATGAGAGCAAAGTGGTCGTCCCGGGTGCAGATCCTGGGTATGAGGGGCTCAAGTGGAGTCAGAGTGGGAAATACCAGCACTGCCCCTTCCTATCTGTGTGAGCTCGGGCAAGTTACTGAACCACTCTGAGCTCTGTTTTCTGTCTATATAGTGAAGACCGACGACACCATCCCCCTGACAGGGTGGTTGGGAGGATTAAATAATGCAAGGACAGTGTCTAGTAAGGGACTGTCATCTCCCCCGCTGTAAGCCAATACCTCACCTTGCCCGAAGGACTTGCCCAACCCGAGGCTTCGGGATATTCTAAAATGAAACCTCATCATCATTCACTGTTCACACTCCTTTAACTGTGTCCCCAGGGCACTCCCCATTTAGCTCTGCCTTTCCACCCACACTTGCCACTGAAACCAACATCCACCTTCTTTCTCCAACAGATTGGCCCTATCGGCTCTTCTAGGACACTCTTCTGGCATCTGTTGTTTTGTCAGCTCAGCATCCCCTTTTCTGTTGGGGAACTGACTCTTCCCCATCCCATGTGGCTCTGGAGGAACTCTGTCCCTCACTCTACCAGGTGGCAGGAGACAAGATGTGGTCATGTGACTCTACAGGGCCAAACCTGGGTCCCTATATCAATGTCTCCGGTGATTGGTCCTAGGTGCTGGACATGTGACTCAGCAGAGCCAATCAGAACAGTCTATAAGAGTACTGTATAAATGCTGAGAGAGAAAGGGGCGTTCCCTCGGATCTCAAGCATAAGGAATAGGATGTAGGAGCAACTGGCAGCTGTCTTTACACTACAAGGAGGGAGACTGTGCCAGGAGAGTATGAAGCCAACTTATAGAGTCACAGAGATAAGCAGCACTGAAAGAGGGAGTGAGAGAGTCTTAGCAATGTTGTCTAGGCCCCCAGATCCAGCTATTCCTAGAGCTGATATTAATCTCTAGGTTCCCTTAATGAATTTCCTCCCACCTTTGACCAGCCTGGGTAGGTATTTGAGTTGAGTGACTGTCACTTGCAACTCAATCTTGGTTACTGCAATGGGTGGCTTAGTGTGCTGAATGGAAACAGATAAATCACGCCAAAGCTTCCATGAGTCATGCCCTGTGCTGGTGTGAAAGATAGACAAAGTCAAACACTCGTTAAAGTGGTAAGGACAGAGTTTCATCAGTAACATGCTACTGCAGTGTAAATTGAAGGCAACTCTCATTTGCACAGAGGTGACTGGGTGTTTTAAAGGAACCAGGAGGGAGTGGAAAGAGAGAACAGCGGTGGCTTGTACAGACGCAGGGAAGTGAAAAATTATAAAGGGTTGGTCAGTGTAAATGCTGAGGAGGCCAGCTGTGTATGTGAGCGGGCAATAGCTGAAGTTAGGTGCTTGTCCTCCCACAGGGACTAGGAGACGGAGGCCTGATCCTCCCTGAGCACTGCTCTTTGAAGGAATAGCTTTCCGGTCTCCTGAGTTGTAGAAGACGCAAATACATTTCAAAGGGACAGAGGAAGGATTCCCAACTGTAAGCCCTTTTTAGCAAATCCTCGGAGACAGGGTGGTGTGTGGTGGTGGTGGTGTTCGTGGGGGCCTGGGTCAGGTGGTGGCTAAAACAAACAGTAGGTTCTTTGGGCAGCTTGGAGGCAGGCCCTTTAAGGGCGTCCGGGTCATTCTAGGGCTGCGGCCTTGAGCTGTGAGAAACTACCTTAGTGGTTTAGTGTTTTAAGGTAGGGGAGGGAGAAGGACAAAATCACTTGTGGTGAGAGCCTGTAGCAGAGCTCTTCGAGGCCCAGGTTGAGGTGTAGTTGAGAACAGGGCTCAGGGGAGCCTGACTAGAGTTTGGTCAAGGAACGGGTCTTTGTCTCTGGGCACTGGCCACACACGTGCCTGGCATGTGGGGTGGGGGTGGGGGGGATGATTCCCCTTCAATTGGCCACCAGCATCTAGACTGTTCTTTGGGGAACAGCTCTCCTCAATTGGGTGCAGCCTTACTGGTGCCTCAGGAGCACGGAGGGCACTGTCAGCAGTTCCGCCAGGTCAAAGCTGGATGCCCAGCTGCTTCTCCAGGTCCTCCTGCTTGTGCCCTTGTTCCTTCGCTCTGCTGTGGCTTTCAGGGCTGGCTTCGTGGCTCTCCCTGTAAGGCCCCCGTATCAGGCCCCTCTGTCTGCGGTGCTCTTTCTGTGGCTGTCACAGCCAGGCCGGGCAGGCCCCCTCCCTTTTTAAAAAGATTTATTTATTTATTTTAGAGGAGGGAGGGGCAGAGGGAGAGGGGGAGAGAGAGAATCCCCATCAAGTGGGGGGATCCCACTTGATGGCGATCATGTCGATCAAGTCGATCCCACGACTCTTGAGATCATAACCTGAGCTGAAATCAAGAGTCGGACCCTTAACTGACTGAGCCCCCCAGGCACCCCGCGGCAGCCTTGTCTTTGGCTGGATTCAGCTCACATGTCTCCTCTCGCGAGAAGCCTCTGTGCCTGCTTGTGGACACCATGTTGTCTCTTACCTCCACGCTGAAGGTGCTCTTTCCCTCGATGAAGCATGGCTGCCCAGCTAACCTGTCTCCCCGGGCCCTCCCTCCCACTCCTGCCAGCGCACGGGAGGCGCCCTCTCTGTGCTCCCTGCTCGCTGCACACGGGGTCGTAATCTCACACAGAACATCGTCTCTCCCATCAGACTGGACCACCCTGGGCAGAGGGCCTGCTGCCAGCTGTGTCCGGGCATGGGGGTGTGGAGAGAATGGGAGGCGGCACGGACTTCAGGCCAACCCGCCACCTGTGTCCAGGCTGCAGTTCACTGGCCCTCCAGGCTGGGCACACAAATTGGCCCGAGGGACCCTCCCTGCTGCAGGTCCCCTCATTCAAGGCCCAGTGCCCAAACTGCTTCCAGCCCCTCTCCTGACCCCATCCCTTCTGCAAAAAAAGACACCCTGTTCTTTCCACTTTGCACAAAAATGTATTTCTGTGACATCCCAAAGTACAGACATTTACCCAGGCCCCAGGTGGTAAAGCAACGCGATGTGAACTCTGCCCAGGGTCTGGGCAGGGAAGGGAGGGGCAGGTGTGGCCTGTCCGCCACATTCAGGAAGCGCAGGGCAGCCACCCCCTTCCCGGGGGCTGGCAGGGACAGACTCTGGGGGGAGAAGGCCTGGTGCCTCTCCCCTGGGCTGCTCATCCAGCCTGTTCTGCCTCGAGGCAGAAATGCTAGGAGAATCCAAAAACAGGCCCAGGGAAGGAGGAAGGAAAAAAGGTCATCCCCTGGGGGATGCCTGCAGAGTTGGCCCTGCTCCCCCAGAGCCTTGTTCTGGAAAGGCCTCCTCGCCGCCGCCTGTCTCCAGAGAGCAATGCAGAGTTACATCAAGGGAGGACCACAAGATATTTCAAGATACATTTGCAGCTCACACTTCTCTGAAACACAGCACAGAGGTTCCCAAGGTAAAGCCTGGGGGCAGGGAGGAGGGGCTCAGAAGGGCCACGTGGGGCCACTGCAGGCTGTGCCCAGTGCTGGTCTGGAAGCAGCTACCTGTCGGCTGCGGGTCCGGCTGGAGTGGGGACCTCCTGCCTCACCGAGAGGCATGTGGGGTCCTCCGGGCAGCGGGGCAGATGTGTGTGTGTGTGTGTGTGTGTGTCTGTGGTCGGGGTAAAAGAGGCCGGCTCAGTTCTGCTGGTGGGGTGCCTGGGCACCATGGGTGCTGTGGGCAGGGGAAGGGCTGGGGAGTGAGGAGCAAGCCCCAGGCCCCAGCGGTGCTGGCTCCCAGGGCTGGGGCAGGGGCTGAATATGTTTGGCAGAAGGGGCAGTGGAATCTGCCTGAGTTCTGACCAGCCCTGGGCTGGGGCCTTCAGTAGCCTGGGACCCGGTGGGAGACCAGCAGGCAGCCTCTATAGCAGCGTGGCCCCAGGCAGGTCTGGCCAGAGAACTGGCAGGGGGCCAACGGGAGCCCCGCTCCTGAGGGTCCCCAGGGGCTGGGGCTGCCTGAGCACTCACTTCTTTGCCCCAGATGGCCGACGGCTGGGAGCACCAAGGCATTCGGGAGACCCAGTGGGGCTAGTTTTCCTCCCAAACCCCATCAGCCACACCCAGGAGCCCAGATGGGGTTCTCAGGCTTTGGCGGCTGCGTTAGGGTGCGGGAGTGGGCTTTCAGAAGCCGCTGCCTCTCCCAATGGGAAGCGAGGCCAGGGTCTGAGGTCATTGGGAAAGGACCGGACTCTCACGACGTTTGAGGCATTGAGTCTTAGGGGGTGGGAGTGAGTGGCAGCGATGAAGGCTTGGAGTTGGGGCTTGAGAGCGGCCGAGGAAGCTGCGGGGACTCAAGGAGTGTTCTTTTGTTTTTGTACAGAAATCATACACACAAAACTTCACACTTCCTAACCAAAAAAAATAATATATATATATATATATATATAATATATATATATCTCACTAATGTTAAGGAAAAGCGTCGGTTGTGCAAAAGTCCCCGTGTCCCTTCATCCAGCAGGAGGCTACCCGGAGGCGGTCCGCCCGCTGGGCTGCTTGAGAGCTTCCTCCCGGCCTTGTGGTCCAGAGCAGTGGCGGCCGTGGGGGCGGAGGCCTCTATCTGGATGTGTCCATGTTCTCCTCTTTAAAGTTACTGCAGTGCCCAATCACCTTGCTGGAGACCACGGGAGAGAGCATCAGAGGGCAGCCTTGGGTCAGGTGAGGTTGGCTCCTCCCGGCAGGGGAGGCCACTGGATTTAGCAGCCAGTGTCAGCAGTGCCGCTGATGTGAGCGAGGAGGTGTGTTGGGGGTGGGGGGCGGGGGGCTGGCACGTGCGGAGTGCCCAGGAAATGGCACCTGCGCACACCAATACGATCAGCCCCCTGGGCCCCTCCTTCCTCCCTAGGCCCCTCCGCTTCCCTACCTCTCAGCCCCAGGGCCTCTCTGGTTAGGGGCTACCCTGAACTGGCTTGCACCTCACCTTCCCAACTCTCTCTGCTCCTTTCTTGAGCACCACCTGCCTTCTTCACTTTCTCCCTGCCTACTGGGGCGGCATACTCGTGGTCCCCAAATTGCCTGCATGCCAGATTCCCCCAGAGAGCCTGAGCCCACGGCGGTCCGCGTGGGGCCAGGGCAGCCGTGCCAGCACGAGGGCCCCTCACACTCTCCAGCAGCCAGGGCCAGTGCTGCGGTCTCAGGAACTGCCACTGGTGCTCAGAGCCCCGGTCTCGTGCCCCCTCTGGACTGACCCTTGAGAACCGCCGGCCCACTGCAGTCATGTGTCACCTGGGACCTTAGATGGCCTTCCTGTTCAACACTACGCCTTTGGGTTGGTAAGGAGCAGGGGGTGGTACTCACTGCAGCCTCCATGTGCTAAAGAGGAGCCTACTGCCTCTTAGGAAATAAGGGGTGCCCAGAGTGGGACAGGGGCGCGATAGGCGGAGCGACTTCTCAGCTCCCTCTTAGTGTCGCTCACACCTGCCTCACACGGGCCGGCGGCTCAGATGCGCGTCTCAGGTCTCACAGAGATGTTCAAAGGGACTGTGGCAGACGATCAAAGAGACTGGCGGCTCTACCATGTGCATGGCCTTCACACCTTCACTTGTGCAAACCTATCTGCACTTGCCGGCCAGTTCTCTCAAATATTCTTTACCATGTGGTGTCCTCTCTTGTTGGAAGGTCTTCGGCCAAAAATGATGAATTCTGACCTGACTTGCTAAGGGCCAGGGAGGAGAGGATGGAATTTGTTGGGAGTAAGAGATGAAGCTTACAGAGGAGGGCAGTGATGCTCTGTGCAGGCTGGACAACCTAGTTTCTGGCCACACTTTGGCCAAAATGACACTCAGGGAGGGCCCTGACACCGTCCCCCGCTCCCCCACACCGAGGCTGCAAGCAGAAACACTGCCCATCTCTTACCGGGCCATTTCCTTTGTCTCCTGCCGGGCGGTGGCCATCTTGATCATGTCCCTCAGCAGGGGCAGCCCCCCTTCTTTGATCAGCAGGGGGCAGTATTTGTCGGCTGCGGGGAGGGGCAGACAGCAGATCAGCTCAGACTTCCAGCAGCCTGTGGCCCAGAACCCACCCTTGCTGTGAGGGCCACCCTCTCTGAGGGGTGGGGGGAGTAGGGACGCAGGCCTGGGGGCAGGCGCTGCTGCACCGGGGAGCCAGCCGACCCGGGGAGCAAGGGGTGAGTCCTTGGAGAAGGCTACTTTGGGACGCGGCCATGATTCTTTCCACAGCTCACCCCATGGGAAATAACACCCAAACCAGTGGCTTCTTTTTTCAGAGATTTTATAGAAATAAAGATTCCTAAGCCCAGCCCTTGGGTATTCTGAGTCAACAGACCCAGGAACCTGTATTTATTTGTATTTTTAACAGTAAACTACCAGCTGATGCTGGTGGCCAGCCAGGCTGGAAACAGTATTCCTTCCTATGATTGGGTGGTTCACAGTCCATGGCAATAAAGAATATTCTAGCGCTTAGGATCCTAGGGCTTTAGGCTCCATGGAGAACACGGGCACTTGAGTGGAGCCTCTCCAACCCCTACCCCCGCCCCCTCCAAGCAGCTCTGTGTAGTCAGAGTCACTTTTATGCTCTGCATTTTACAGATGAAAAGAACCGAGGTTCAGAGGGAGGAAACAATTCATCCAAAGTCACTCTGGAAGTTTGTTCGAGGGAGTCCCAGCTCAGGGCTCTTCCCTCTGGGCTATACTGCCTCTCCAAGGTCAGGGGCTACACTTTAGTAAGACCAACCTCAAGTAGTAATGAAAAAGGCTGAGCCTTATCCAAGAGCTGGTATGGGCCAAGCACTGTTCCAAGCATTTTTCATGCCTTACTTCACAGCAATCCTATTTTTATCCCATTTTAAAGAAGAGACAATTGAGGCACAGATAGGTTGAGAAACCTGCCCCAAATAACACAGCCACAGCAAGTGAGAGAGCCGGGGCTCAAAGCCAGATGTCTGCCCCCAGAGCCCGCACTCCGATCCACTCTGCTAGTTAACAGCACTGAGCTAGTTAACAGGATCCAGACACTGGCCTGGGCACTTCGTGCTGGTTCTCTTTTCACATCAATCTTATGAGGTAGGCATTATCACTGTCCCCATTCTACAGGGGAGGAAACTGAGGCCCAGAGAGGTTAAATAACCTGCATGAGGTCACATAACCAGTAAGAAAGAGATCGAGGGTCAAACCTCGTCTGTCATCAAGGTCTCCTCCCCACAAAGCCACCCAGCAGATGGGCCACTCTCCGAGGAATTAAGTTAGAATTGTTTTAAAGTTCTCTCCCGTTCCTGTGGGAGTCTGTTTCCTTGGTGGCACTTAGTTCTTTGTTTGGTCTTACTCTATCCCACAGAAGGCACGGAGATTTTTGACTCTTCACTTCTGGGGAAGCAGGAAGCATTAAGCAGGCTATCTGGGAACTCTGGATGGCCCATCGGGCCTGCCAGACTCGTTTCTGGTGATGAGGCAGGGCCGGCCATTATGCCGGGCGGCCCACAGATGCTGGAAAGTGGAGGGCTGTGCTCTCGAGTACAGACTCTGCACCCCAGTTACAAGCTCCCCGGGGACAAGCGTGCTTGAAGCCCAGTGAGCAGCCCCGTTTCTGAACAAAGGGCAAGTGGATACTCACGGTAGACAGACACGAGGTTGTACAGGGCCCAGGTGGCCCAGTGCTGGCTGACAGGGGAGATGCCCTGGGGAAGGAGGCGAAGAATTGGCTCAAATGACCTGTAGAGAGAGAGGTCAGGGTCACTTCTGCGGCCAGGGGTTGGGGGAGTGCCTCCTGCCTGCTGGAGAGCTCTCCTGCCTGGAGCGCCCTACACACAGCCCACGAGCAGGCTAGTAGGCTGCAGCGGAGGTGAAGGCGGAGGCATCAGGCCCTTCAGGCTCCACGAAGGGAGAGAGGTCAAGGGCAGGGCCATGCAAGGGTGGCAGGAGGGAAACAGATCAGGTGGAGAAGAAACAGGGGACCTCGGCGAGGAGGAGAGAGCCAGTCTTGGGGAGGCAGGGAGAAGTACCCTGAGAAACAGAAATGACACCATACTTCTTATAGTGGCCTTCTACAGGCCATCTGGAGTCATGGTCCCAGAGCCTGAAAAATGTACGTGCAAACCCCCTGGGCCAGTGCTTCCACCTCATGTCTCCTTGGGAACAGCAGTCACCAGAGCACAGACAAAGCCATAAGCACAAGCCTGCTCCTCCCAATATGGGATTTCTTTTCCTTTTTTTTTTTTTTTTTTTTAAGATTTTATTCACTTGTTGGAGAAGGAGCGTGCACAAGCATGGGGAGCGGCAGGGAGAGGGAGAAGCAGGCTCCCTGCTGAGCAAGGAGCCCAATGCGGGACTCGATCCTAGGACCCTGGGATCATGACCTGAGCCAAAGGCAGACGCCTAACTGACTGAGCCACCCAGGCGTCCCCCAGTATGGGTTTTCGAGGTCAGGGTCAATCAGTACAAGATGGTCCATCCACACCCAGAAAGTGACCCAGTCACGACATGAGGAGGGAGACCTATACCTTGTGGTTGCAAATCCAGCCACAAGACAGGAAGACGTGACGCCCACTGCACTGCCAAGAATGAAGTCGGTGCAGAGGGTAACTCCTGGGAGGGGAGGCGCCAGACTGTGAGCAGAGAGGTTCTTTGGTGGAGTGAGCTCAAGAATGGTTTTTGTGGGAGTCCCGCCTGGGTGGTTCAGTCGTTAAGCGCCTGCCTTCAGCTCAGGTCATGATCCCAGGGTCTTGGGATCGAGCTCAGTGTCCAGTTTCCTGCTTGGCAGGAAGCCTGCTTCTCCCTCCCCCACTCCCCCTGACAGTGTTCCCTCTCTCACTGTGTCTCTGTCATATAAATAAATAAAATCTTAAAAAAAGAATGGTTTCTGTTTGGTTCCCTGGTGCATACTGGTATTTTCCTCTTCTTTTCTCCTCCCACAGATAAACCGTCTCAAATGCTTGTAAACGGCTTCGGGTACACACGGGTGTGTATGTGCAGGAAAGGTACAGCCAGCCTTCCGGGTGAGGTGTGTGCTGTGTGGGGACTGTCCCTCAGGGAGAGTGACAGGGGATGAGAGGAAAGGCCTTGCTGGGAACAAGCATCCCCCTCGGACCCCTCTCGAGCACCCCTCCCTCCCAGCGCCGCTCCGCACCTGTAATTGATGTTTCTCCGAGAGTTGATGTCCCAGCTCTGGATGGCGGCCCACATGCGCTCCTCTACCTCCTCCCGCTGGGGCTCACAGATGCCCCAAGCCTCAGGCCCATCGAACATGATATGGGAGAGGACGCCGCAGGCATTGTACGAAACTTCGATCCCATCAGCCTTGCTCTCCAGCAGGTTGCTGCCAAGGGGAGAGAAAACTCCCTCCAAGTCCCTCTTCAGACACCAGCTGCTGGGCCCCAGCTTACAAACTGGATGCCAGAGGTGTTGCTGACTTATTATCCATACCCAGCGATTATTCTAAAGATCTGAGGTTGCTGAAGACACAGCGACAAGAGGACCATTTATGGCGGCTTGAGGGAAACCCCTTGTAGACGGAAGGTGACATTTCTAACAGAGATCTAGGCAGAGAGTGGTTGCTGCAACTGAACACAGACTACAGCCCTGAGCATCCTGGCAGCCAAGGCAAAAAGGGAAAGGGAAGAAATACCAACCTGAAGACACTGATGAACTGGGAAGTCATTAGCTGTGGCCGCAGCTCCTTCACCTCAGCCACATTCCCCAAGAGTCCTAGCATGTTCCGATGCAGTTCCTGCTTCTCTGGGAATTCCTGGCAAAATGAGAGCCATTGGGGCCATGTCAATTAGTACTTAATTAGTGGCTGGTATGTTTTTAGTAAGTGTCTGGTACCGCTAACCTAGAAACTTTATGGGTATCTGGCCATTGCACCTAGACAAAGAGGGGGAGCAACATGCTGTCCTCACACCTTCTCCTGCACCGAGTACAGTGTGGGGTACGTACCATATGGGATTAAAAAGGGTAGGGGCCCCTTGCTACCAAATCAAAGGCTGAGTGGAGATCTGACCTATAAAACTCCAAAGAGGATAAACACGGTTCTATTTGCCAAAAGCTCAAATATGAATTGAAGGGAAACTTCGTAGAAACTAGAGCAAGAAAATGAAGGATGAGTTTTATCTATTTCTTATAATTGCTACCTTTATTTATTTATTTATTTATTTAAAGAAAGCTCTATGCCCAACGTGGAGCTTGAACTCACAACCCTGAGATCAAGAGTCCGTCATATAAATGCTCTCCCGACAGCCAGCCAGGTGCCCCAAGGATGACTTTTAAAAGACCATCCTAGGGGCGTCTGGGTGGCTCAGTGGGTTAAAGCCTCTGCCTTCAGCTCAGGTCATGATCCCAGAGTCCTGGGGGAGCCCCACATCGGGGCTCTCTGCTCAGCAGGGAGCCTGCTTCCCCTCCTCTCTCTCTCTGCCTGCCTCTCTGCCTACTTGTGATCTCTGTCTGTCAAATAAATAAATAAAATCTTAAAATAAAATAAAATAAAATAAAATAAAATAAAATAAAAGACCATCCTACTGGACAGAATCCTATCCAGCTGACATCCCAGGGAACCCCGACCAGACTGTGGGCAGCCGGAGAATCGCTGGGAAGAAGGATGGGACTGGGCTTTCCCTCGGACCAGGGCTCTGAGACAGGGGTGGGCCTGTGAGTTGGCCCCCACTGCCCTTCTGTGGGAACCACGGGGGGAGGAGCTGCTGACGGATCTGGGGGGCGGGACACCTGGGGCAGAAGAGTGGCCATGTGAGTGGTCAAGGAGGCTCTGCCACTGGAGACGGGCAGTACCTTCAGGCAGTCCAGAAAGAGCTTCATGCCATTGAAGTTGAGGAACATCTCGCAGTTGTCGGGAGTCTCGTCCGTGATGTTCCACAGGGCGCTCCAGGAGAACTCCATCACCTGGTCGCACTGAAGGGAGAGGATGCCTCAGCACAGCTGGTCTGGAGGGCCCGCAGGCTCCTGGCACCCGTGAGGGCACCCCCTCACAAAACATGGGTATCCTCCAGGGACAAACCAGCCCCTCTTGAGGGAGGGGAGGGGTGGAGGAGCTTCATGAAGGCTCAACTTACTATCTTGTCCAGCAGCTTCTTCTGAATCAGCTTCAGCATGGTCTGTGGGCAGAGAAGAGAACTTGCAGGGGGGCAGGGCTCAAGAGGTACTGTGTCCCCCAAGACCAAGACGGAGAGAGGGGAGCCAGCCCTTCCACTCCTGGCTAATGCATCCTGACAAGACCGAATGTACCTATCTGGTCCGGGGGGCCTGCAACCCACAGACGTGGTCCCTAGCCTCGGGAGGCCTGGGGACTGGTCCAGCTCGGGCCTGGCTCCCTGTGTAGCGCTGGGCCTGGCCCTCCCCTCTGTGGGCTCCAGCCTCTCCATCCAGCGCGAAAGAGGAGGAGACCAGACGCTCCTTCCTCACTCTTCCCTGCCACCTTGTGCCAGGCCCCACTCTAGAAAGTGCTGGGGAGGTCATGATGGAAGAAGGAACAAGCATAGTGTCTTTCCCTGCAGAACTCACAACCCAGTGGGGAGGCCGACATTAAACAAACAGTCCCTCAGACACTTATTTAACCCCAGTGAGAAAGACCTAATAGGGGACCTGGTCTGAGGAGCCAGGAGGGGCTTGAACAGTGGGACCAAATGCGTGGCTGCAGCGGCCGGGAGAGGATGCCAGAGTGTTCTGAGCGGAGCAAATCTACGGGGACGTAAGCTGCATTCATGGTGAGAAGATTTTTCCTCTGGTCTAGCCTAAATCCGTCATGGGGCAGGGGGCTCTGGAGAAGGGGCAGCCTGAGGGCACGCACCACAACGAAGCCCATCTTGCCCACGGCCTCCTTGTGGTCGTTGTCCACTTGGCAGACCAGGGCGTTGCACAGGTGCACGGCGATGCGCTGGATTGACTCGTCCTGCCTCGTGGGGTTGAGGATGCTGAGCAGGAGCTCATTAACTCGGCGGTACTGGAACTCCAGCTCCTCAGGGATGCTGAAGTTACAGAGGGTCAGACAGCAGTTCCGCTGGACCTGGGTGGGATGGGAGACAAGGGGAACACAGTCAGGGTTGGTTAGACTCGGGAGCTGGACTCCAGGGGCGCCCTAGAGGCGTGAGATCATCTGGAGCTGTGGTGGTCCAGGAAGGCTTTCTGGAAGAGGAGACTCCAAGGCTTTTTTTTTTTTTTTTTAACATTAAAAAAAAAAAAGTGAAATATAATCTTCACACAGAAGAGGGCATAAAACACAAATTTATGGTTTTACGAGCATTTATGAAGCAAAAAAACCTTTTTTGGCAACCATGGAACCCCCCACCTGGGTCAGGAAATAGAACACTGGCAGCACCCGGAAAGCCCCGCAGGTCCCTTCCTGGCCCTCAGTCCCTCTCCCCATAGAGAGAACCACCGTCCTTGCGAGTCCCCACAGAAGGTTCTCCAGCATCTTGCTTACTCTTGTTTACCACAGGTTTGTAAGAGCAACTATGTCATCATGAGCAGCTGAAAAGCATTCATTTGTTCACTGTATCACGGTCCTTGAATTTATTGGCCCATCCCACCGTTGGTGGACACCCGAGGGGGCTTCAGCGTGTGGTAACTTCAAACGATGTCTCATGCCTCCATCCTGGCGTCCATGCACAGTGGCTTCTGGGTCACACGCAGCATGCATGTCTTCAACTTGACCAGGTGACACCAGACCGTCTGCCGAAGTGGCTGCAGGGTCTACAGTCCCAATGGGCAGAGCGGGAGGCCTCACGCTGCTCGAGAGCTTCAATTTCTTTTTTCGTTGTCTGTGGGCTTTTTTTTTTTTTTTTTTAAAGTATTCTTGGAGCATTTGCCTGTAATTTAATTTCCTTCCATCCTTTCTCAGATTTTGGCAGATCACTGTACTTCAGTAATTATGTAATTTAGAGGGTGTATCACTCTTAGTTAGCTCTTTTTTCCCCCCTCAAATACACATACACTTTTTAATCTGAGAAAAAATTTATTTCAAATTACAAGAAACAATGCTTACTCACCGTAAAAAGTTCAAATAGTAGTATTTGAGAGAAAAGTTAAAGTCTCTCACTTTATTCCCCAAAAGTAATCACTGTTAAAAGTTTGGTGCATGTCCTTCTAGATTTTTCTAACATGCAAATACAAATATATATTTGGGGGAGAGGTGAGGCAAAAAAAGATATTATACACACTGCTCTAAAACCTTTCACTTATCAACATGCAGTGGACATCTTTCCACATTAGGAACGCGCAGATTTGCCAGAATATCCGATTGTGGGGGTATGTTACTTTTCCAGGTCCCTATAGCTAAAACGTTCTAGTTTCCTCTAATTTATTTTTATTTACTTATTTTTAAAATTTTATTTATTTTTTTGACAGAGACACGGCGAGAGAGAAAACAGAAGCAGGGAGCGTGGGAGAGGGAAAAGCAGGCTTCCTGCGGAGCAGGGAGCCCGATTCAGGCCTCAATCCCAGGACGCTGGGATCATGACCTGAGCCGAAGGCAGGCGCTCAATGACTGAGCCACCCAGGCGCCCCTCCTCTAACTTATTTTTAATTAAAAAGAAAAGATGTGATCTTTTTCCTCTAAAAAACATTTGAATCATGGAATACATGGGCCCAAAGATCAACGCATTTACAGTTTTGGCAAATTCGGCCAGTTGGCCTCCAAAAAGATGGTACAATTCCTACCTCAGCAGGGAGAAGTATGCAAAAGTAATCTCCCCTGACCTCTGTCAATGTTGGGGATCCTCGGTCTCTTGAGATAAAATGTGGTACCTCACCATTTTAATTTCCATTTCTTTGATAGAGTTTATGAATTTGTTTGGGAGTCTTCAACTAGCAATTTTGTAAAAAAAAAAAAAAAAAAAAAAACCCAAACCAAAAAACAAACAAAAAAACACACCCCTTTTACCTGATGATAAAATCAATCTCAAGGTAGAAAAAGGTTGCTCTAAAGTCTGGATTTGGCAGGCAGGGAAAGCATGCCTTCTCACCCCTGCAGGAACTGTGTCTCTACCATAGCCTTTCTGGAGGATAATTCGAGACTATGTCCCAAATGCTTTAAAAATACACCTACCCATTCATGGCCCCGGCAATGGCAATTTTAGTCACGTATTTTAAGGATTATCAATTGAGTAGAGTCAGGAAAGCCTTCTTTGAAATAGCAAACAAGAAGAAAGTCACCTAAATGTTTGACCACGGGGGGCCAACTCCATGACTGCCACCTGGGGCAGCCTGGCCTGCTACTCTGTGGGGAAAGGGCCTGGCCACTGTGTCCCAGCTACAGCACACGGCTGGCGCCCCAGTGGCTTCCCCTGGATAAGGACACTGAGCATTAGGCTGACAACTCATTTTGTAGTTAACACATTTTCTCTTTCTTTTCTTTTTTTTTCTTTAAGATTTTTTTTAAAAAGATTTTATTTATTTATTTGAAAGAGCAGAAAACCATAAGCAGGGAGAACAGCAGGCAGGGGGAGAGGAGAGGCAGACTCGGGCTGAGCAGGTAGCCCAAGGTGGGGCTCGATCCCAGGACCCTGGGATCATGACCTGAGCCCAAAGCAGATGCTTAACCGAGTGAGCCACTCAGGCGCCCTGACACATTTCTGTATCACGGTCGACCATTAGACAGCCTGAAGGTTAGGGGCTCCAATCTCCTCCCTACCTACTGCCAAGCAGCTGAAAAGCCACCTGTAACTTCTGACTCCTCCCAGAACTTCACCACGAAGAGCCTACCTTTGACTGGAAGGAACCCTTCCTGATAACGTCTATAAGTCAACTAACACATTTTGCACATGATATGTGTTACATATCGTAGTCTTGCGATAAAGCTAGAGCAAAGACAGTGTAAGGAAATCATTAGGAGGAGAAAATACACTGACGGTGTAATCTGTATTTGTCAAATAAAATCTGATCCAGGGGCGTCTGGGGGTGCTCAGTCCGTTAAGCGTCCAACTCTTGATTTTGGCTTAAGTCATGATCTCAGTGTCGTGAGATCGAGCCCCGTGCTGGGCTCGGTGCTGGGCGTGGAGCCTGCCTAAGATTCTCTCACTCTTTCCCTCTGCCCCTCCCCCCACTCCTACTTGCTCTCTCTCTTTCAAAAAAAAAAAAAAAAAAATCTTTGTTTTTTTAAAAGGAGCACCTGGTTGGCTCAGTCAGTTGAGCAACTGACTCTTGATTTCAGCTCAAGTCATGATCACAGAGTCATGGGATCAAGCCCTGCATTGGGTTCCTAAATAAATAAATACATACACATATAAAATCTTTAGAGAAGAATTCTGCATCTGAGTTGAAACCCATGTGGTTCAAGGGTCAATGGTGCTTGAATCTGTTTGTTTTCTAAGCATTAGATGTCTTACTTTTGTAATTAGAAAAGAGACATTATTTTAGAAGTTCTGTTGTAGAAATGTTTGTTGATCTGAGAGATGTTCACACTCATAAGACACTGTTGTAATAAAAATCCACATCATGCAAACAGCAAGTGCGGAATGAACCCATCTACTAAATAAACATGCACAGGCGAAATCTAAAACAACAGGTGTCCAACACCAACAGTGGCTCTCTGTGTGGAGGGATTACGAGTGGTTTTTTTTTTTTCTTACTGTCTCTAATTACAGTTTTTCTAAGGTCAAAATTTTTGTAACTTTACAATAAAAGCAGCTATTGGAAAACAATCCCCTGCCCGCAGAGTGTTACTGGGCGGAAGGGCCGAGGAGTCCGCATGAGCAGAGGCCCAGAGACAGGAAACCAGGGTCCCTGGGCGGGGGGGAGTGGCCATGGGGGAAGGACTCGTCAAGTGGGGCCAGGTTACAGGGTCCTGAATGCCAGGTCCTAGAGTCTGGGAGGGATGCCACGGGTAAGGGGGGAGGTGACTGCAGCAGGGGTGGAGGGGGCTGCAGATCAGAGCCAGGCAGAAAAGGGTGCAAACAGGCTTGGCCCCCCGAGGGCCCAGGGCAGTAAGGCTGGCACACAGGGTGCGCAGGGAGAGGAGGGGCTGGGCCTGAGCATGCAGGGCTGGCACGGGTAGGGGGCTCACCGTCACCTCCTGGTAGGATTCCATGCCATTCAGCACCACCTGGATGACCTGCCGGCGCAGCTTGACGCTCTGCTCGGAGCGGTACTCAGAATTGGTCAGGTAGAAGAGCGCAGCGCTGCCCGTGACCTGGATGTTCTTGTCATACTTGTGGCACTTGAGGGCTGTGATGACCAGCTGTGGGAAGACAGGGTGGGCCTGGGTTGGCCAGTCCTGTTCACGCCGTGCCAGGCCAGGCCTAGGGCTCTGCCAGGGGGCTGGGACAGTTGCTCTGGGGCTCAGCTTACCCTGATCCTGTTCCCCGAGAGCAGAAGTACGGGTTGGGGGGCAGAAGCTAGATGGGGCCACAGGTCTGTGGTAAGGTCAGTGCTGGGACAAGCTAGGCCTAGGGCTCGGGGGTAATGCTGCTGGGGGCCTGGGGGTGAGGAGGAGGTGGAGAGGAGGGACACGCCTCAACCGAGTCCAGCGCCTGCCAGCTGGGGATGGGCAGGAGGCTGAGGCCCCCCGGGGTTGAGGCTGACCTTCAAGGCCCGAAGCAGCTGGTTGCAGCGCTCGATGCGTGCGATGTCAAAAAGCAGGTTGATGGCCCTCGAGGTGATCTCAGGCCTGTGCTCCGTGTAGGCCTCTATGGCATTCAGCACCTGCTCCTCATTTTTGTCACCACTTACCTGGGAACGGAACATGCTCAGAAGCACCCGGAAGAGGCCAAGCGGTGGGATCCCCAGACCCCAGGGTCATCTCTACTCCCAGGGCAGACACCGTGGGGCCCCCAGCTGACCCCTTCCCTTGTCCCAGGGCCCCCTATTCCTCCCCTCCCCAACTCCCTCTCTCACTTTGTAGGCAGGAATGTGTGTGAGGCGGCACAGGGAGGTCTCAAAGAGCCCGAGGAACTGCAGTGGCCTCTTCAGGGCCCGGAAAGGCATGATGCTGCTCTTGGAAGGCTCAATGCTGGGAACAGAGGGTGCTGGGGTCAGTGGCCTGTGGACTGGGGCTGTCCTGGGTTCAGGAGGGGCTCTCCCTGGGGTTGGCTAGGCATTTACTTGGGGCCCTCTTCTAGGCCTTCCTGCCTCATCTTTTGGGACACAGACCGCCACCTCCTGACGGAGAGGTAGCAAGGTCACACTGTATAACATGGGGGATGGGAGTTACTGTTGCACCCATCTTTGGAAAATACTATGTGCCCTTCTAGTGAGGACTTGTCACCCTTGTGTAAAGTCCTAACGATCATCAAGGGACATGCCCATCAACCTAGCCCCGTGAATGCACAGCTGGGGCCAGGGCCCATAGTCAATTACAGTTGGATCGGTTTGAATCCGATCTCAGTCTCTCAACCAACCAGGCCAGGAAGCAACCTATGTGCTGGGATACCTAAAGCAAGGGAGACGCTGCTGGCCATCCTACCGCCACCACCGTCGCTAGCCAGGCTGAGCGTCCTAATTCTCTGCTCACCCCTCAAGCTTACACCTTCCAGCCTTTGCTGTATGCTGTTCCCTCGGCTGGAACACCTTTCCTCTGGCAAACTCAGGAGCTTTCAGGATAACCTGGATGCCATTCCTCCTTCTTCTTGATCCTCAGGGCAGTCCTACAGTCCTGCGCCTCCCCTACCACTGTCCTGATAAGGACTCCTTTGTCCCCACTAGCTCGAACAGACTCAACAGGGCAGGGCCTGGTTCGGTTCTTTATCTCTGGCACCCAGCACAGGCCCTGGCTTGGTAAATGCTTGTTGAATGACACCCTGCTGGCAACCACCACGGGTGGGTCCCCACCTAGTCTGCCCCGCCTCCTCGTCCATCTTGGAGATGCTGCAGTTTTCCAGGATCATGTGGCCAGAGATGTCCAGGGACATCAGGTTCCCCAGCTTTTGCACAAAGAGGCTCAGCACCTTGCGAGTCAGCTTGAACTTGTAGTAGCTGGAGAGGCGGTCTCGGGAGATGTCCAGGTGTCTGGAGATTGGAGTGGGGGCCACAGGTCAGGAGCCGGACATGGGCTGGGGCTGCCTCAGAGAGCCCCGCTCCTTCAGCCCATGGCAGGGAGGGGAGAGCCCCTCCTTCCCACAGCTGCTCCAGAGCATTCTGGGGAAGAGCCTGCTGGCACCCCAAGGCCCTGAACAGCCCAGATGCAGCCAAAACACTGGGCTTAAGGAAGGGGACTGTCTCTTCCAAACCCATCTGTGCCCCGCTAGGGGCTTACAGACCTCCGGGACTGGCGACCCCCACCCGCCCCTAATGAGCTCTGGGCCAGCAGCTCACCGCAGCTTGTGCAGCTGGACGATGACCCGGATGTGGTCGTCTGACAGGTCCATGTTGTAGAGCACAAGGGACACCAGGCTATCTTTCCACTGGGTTAGGAAGGCCGCGTCGCTTGTCTGGATGCCCGAGAGGTCCAGGGCAGCCAGGGAGCTGAGTGGCCGCAGCAGCGACTCCACAGGGACCCCGTCGATCATGCGACCCAAGTTGAGGAAGCGGAGGCGGCTAAAGCCCTCAAACGTAAAGTCCTTGACCAGCACCTGGCAGGTGGGGTTGACGAGGCACTCGTCTTCACAGCCCCCTGGGTTCTCCTCCTCATAGAAAATGTTGGCACAGCCGAAGAGGCTCAAGGACACCAGGGTGTGGCTAAAGCTCCTTAGCGTCTGCAGACTCTTGGCGGACAGCTTCTCGCAGTTGGTCAGGTACAGCTCCACCAGGTCCTGGGAGCAGGGACAGCTCCGTCACCGCCACAGCCCACCAACCCCCACCTCTGGCGACCCCCAGGCCCGAGCCCAGACCACAGGTGGGCTTCAGGAGGGGTGTGTGCAAGGTGCGGGCGTGCTGGATTCTTGTCCCGGAGGGGTCACTGATGCTCTCCGGCCGGCCTCCCCATGGCCGTCCCCACTGGCTGGTGACGTAGGTCTCACCTGCTTGCGGATGGCCTCCAGGTCCTGGTCCTGCACCAGGTCCTCGCGAAGGTGGATCCGGGTGAGGCGGGTGCTGCGGGGGTCCGAGAAAAGGCTGAAGAAGCTCTCGTGCGGCTCAAAGTTGCAGGCGGCATTGACCAGCTCCACGTACCTAGGCGGGGAGAGAAGCCTCGCTAGCGGGAGGGGTGCAGGGGCCTTTGACCTCCCTCAAGGCTCTGCACTAGCCCTCCTGTCCCTGAAACCTTCCCTTGCCACCCACCAGCAACTCCCATCTCTTCCAACCCCTGTCCCTCTTTCTAACAGCATCTGCTTGGACCCTGACCGCCCTGCAGGTGACATGAAGATGCTCCCCCAGGCACCAGGACAGCAAAGATAACAAAGCGGTCTCTAATCAATAGCAAATCCCAAACACTTCCTCCCGAAACCCGTACGCATCTGTAACAAATACAGGCATCCGCACTCCTCGTCTTTCAGCAGGCTTCGGTTCCTGATCGGCCCCTCCCGGGACCCTTTCCAACAGGAAGATTAAGCCAAGGGGTTTGACATTCCCAGCTGGGTCCAGGCCAAACACTGAATAAAACCCTGTTTGAGATCCCAGTTGATACAAGAATCCTGGTCTGGTGGAAGAGGCTTGGGAGTCAAACACTGGGCTCTGAATCCTGGCTTGGCTGTTTACCACTTGGGCAACTTCACACAAGTAATGGAACTTTGCCAGAATTTAGTTTCTTCATCTGTAAAATGGACATAACTCAGGTCTGCAAAGGGTCCACGCGAGTGGCTGAGCCACATCAAATGCCCAGAACATGATTACAAGTCAGGCTCCGTGCTGGGGTCACACACAAGTTCCCACGCTTTCTTCTTTTTTTCAGATTTTATGTTTTTAAGATTTATTTATTTGAGAGAGAGTGCAAGCGAGCAGAGGAGGGGCAGAGGGAGAGGGAGAGAGAGAAGGAGACTCCCTGCTGAGTGTGGAGTCCAATGTGGGGCTTGATCTCACGGCCCTGAGATCATGACCTGAGCCGAAATCAAGTCAGCCGCTCAACCGACTGAGCCACCCAGGCGCCCCCTATTTTATTTTATTTTTAATTATTTTATTTTTAGGGGCACCCGGGTGGCTCAGTCAGTTGAGCAGCTGACTCTTGATTTCGGCTCAGGTCATGATCTCAGGGTCCTGGGATAGAGCCCTGTGTCAGGCTCCTGTCCTGACAGGGAGTCTGCTTGGGGTTCTCTCCCTCCCTCTGCCTCTGCCCCTCCCGACTGTGTGCTCTTTCTCTCTCAAATAAATAATCTTAAGAAAAAAAAGATAAGGGGCGCCTGGGTGGCTCAGTGGGTTGGGCCGCTGCCTTCGGCTCGGGTCATGATCTCGGGGTCCTGGGATCGAGTCCCGCGTCGGGCTCTCTGCTCGGCGGGGAGCCTGCTTCCCCCCCTCCTCTGCCTGCCTCTCCATCTACTTGTGATCTCTCTCTGTCAAATAAATAAATGAAATCTTAAAAAGAAAAGAAAAAAAAGATCATATTTTTAAATAGTCTTCACACCTAATGTGGAGTTCAAACTCACAACCCCAAGATCAAGAGTTGCATTATTCTCCACGGACTGAGCCACCCACAAGTTCCCACTTTTATATGCAACTGTTTGGTCTAACAATTTCCCTTCTGGGGATCTGGACTGACCTCCCTGAGGTGAGTGAATGCATATCCTATTGCCAGGAGCCTCTCATAGTGGGGAGTTCCTTGGAGGGCCCAGATACAGATTTTCTGAATGATTTGATCCCTGGTCATGGGTCCATTCTTTACAGTGTACCAGTGCACGAACGTGTGTGTGGCTCTGTGCACACACAGACGGGTTTATAGGCACAGGCATGTGCACATAGGCACACGGAACAGTCAGAATTCCTTTGTTTATGTGCACGTTTCTTTAAGATTTTATTTATTGAGAGAGAGAGTAAAATGAGAGAGAGAGAGAGAGTAGAGTGAGAGAGAGAGAGCATGAGCGGAGCGGGGGGAGCAGCAGGCAGAGGGAGAGAGAGAGAAGCAGACGCCCCACCTCAGCAGGGAGCCCGATGTAGGGCTCAATCCCAAGACCCTGGGCTCATGACCTGAGCTGAAGGCAGACGCTTAACTGACTGAGCCACCCAGGCGCCCCCTATATGCAGGCTTCTGTACCCTCTCATAGATATAATGCACACTTGCAGTCACACACTCAAACATACCCCATGCTGCAGAAACCCACGTGTACATACGTCCATTCCTTCACATGCACACCCTTCCACACACATACCAATGTGCACACATGTAGCTTTATGGTTACGAATATACCAGTGTTCTCCATACCCACAGACACCCAAGTCCATGCACACACCCCCCACACGTGTGTATCCATAGCCACATTCCTGCATGGTGCACACCACGGTCCCAGAGCTCATGCTAAGACTCATGCCCATGCCCCAGCCCCCTGCCCGCTCACTCATTGACGAGCCGGTCACAGATCTCGCTGGGCAGGAAGATGTCTGGGTGGAGCCGCAGAGTCTCCTTGTCCAGCAGGTAGCCCAACGTGCCATCCAGGTTGCGCAGGCAGAAGTCAGTGCAGAGGGCCATCAGGGACTCAGGGGTGTCGGACGCCATGCTGGGGGTCAGGAGGGTGGGCCAATCCAGGACAGGAGCCCCTAGGGGCAGCAGTGACTCCCAGCACTCACAGGGTCATTGGCAGAACCACAGCCTGGGGAACAGGAAGAAGCTAAGTGAGCCACAACCACCAGCTACCCTATGCCCAATCTCTGAGTAGGGAAACTGAGGTCCCAAATGTCACACTCAATTGAGCAGCTTAGCAGGGCTCCTGCTCCCTTTCCTGGTCCTCTCTGCTCCGCCACTAGCTGTGTGTGATTTGACCTGCGAAGAGCAGGGGTCTTGTCCGGGCATGTTTCTGCCTTTACAGTATCCGTGGGCAGACGTGCATGTGTTGGGGACCCAATGCTTGGTGAGGATAACGGGGCTTTCTTTAACAGCTACACTGGGGCATCCCTTACTGTGTAACCTAACCCGTAAACAGTAGTCACCGTGTGAACATTCAGTATATGCCAGGCCTTCATAGACATGCTGTCATTGAATTAAACTGTGTATGATTAAGAATGATTAATCATTTCTCCCAAGGGAAGTGAAAATATACGTCCACATAAAAATCATACATTCGTGTTCACAGCGGTACTATTCGTAATAGTCAGGAAGTGGAAATTACTTTCCATCAACTGATGCCCGGATAAACAAAAATGGTCTATCCCTACAACGGAATGTTATTCAGCCATAAAAGGAATGAGGTACTGACACGTGCTACAGCATGGACACCTTGAAACCGTTATGCTAAGTGAGAGACACCAGGCACAAAAGGCCATATGTTGTACGGATCCATTTACACACAGTGTGTAGCCAGAAGAGGAAACCCGTAGAGTCAGAAGTAGATTAGAGGTGGCCTAGGGCTGGGGCTGTGAGGCATAGGCAGTGACTGCTAACACTACGAGGCTTCTTCTAGGGTGATAAAAATGTTCTAAAATTGATGATGGTGGCAGACACAGAACTCTGAATATACTAAAAACCAACAAACTGTCTATGTGAAATAGCTATCGCATATGGTTTAGGAATTGTAGCTCAACAAAACGGTTATTAAAAAACTAAAGTCAGGGGCAGGTGCCTGGCTGGCTGTCAGAAGAGCACGTGATACTTGTAACATCTCGGAGTTATGAGCTTGAGCCTCACCTCGGGCGTAGAGCCTAAACAAACAAACAAACAAATAGGTAAATAAAGTTGGGGCCCTTGGCTGGCTCAGTTGGTAGAGCATGTGACTCTTGAGGTCATGAATAGAGATCACTAAAAACAAAATAAATAAAAACTAAAAAAAACCCCAAAACCCTAAAGTCTCCTACTATCTTCATGACCTTAAACTAGGTAAAGATTCCTCAAATAACACTCTTGAGGGAAAAATGATAATCCAGTCTGCACTGAAGTGAAGAAACTTCTGTTCATATATACACAAAAATTAATCTAAGATGTGGGCACCTGGGTGGCTCAGTGGGTTAAGCCTCTGCCTTCGGCTCAGGTCATGGTCTCAAGATCCTGGGATTGAGCCCCACATCGGGCTCTCTACTCAGCAGGGAGCCTGCTTCCCTCTCTCTCTGCCTACTTCTGATCTCTCTCTCTCTCTCTGTCAAATGAATAAAAAAAATTAATCTGAGATGGACCACAGACCTATATGTGAAGGGTAAAACAACAAGACTTCTAGAAGAAAACACAGGAGTCTATCTTGTGACTTTAGAGTAGGCAATCATTTCTTAAACAGTTCACCAAAAAACCCCCGAAACCATAAACAGAAAAAAATTGTACTGCCTTAAAATGTACATCAGTCATCAAAAGATATAATTAAGAAAGAGAAAGGATAAGCCATTGACTAGAAAATATTTCCAATAATATATCCAACAAACGACTCATATTCAGAATATATAAACTCTTTCTACAAATCATTCTTTTTTGAGTTTTAGCAATTTTGAACTGGATGGTTCAGTCAGTTAAGCAATTGTCTTCAGCTCAGGTCATGATCCTGGGTCCTGGGAGCGAGCCCTGCATTGGGCTCCCGGCTCAGCAGGGAGCCTGCTTCTCCCTCTCCCTCTGCTGCTCCCCCACTTGTGCTCTCTCTCTCTCCACTCGCACACACACATACATACATACGTACACATTTTAGCAACGTCTACACCCAGCATGGGACTTGAACTCACAACCCTGAGATCCAGAGCTATATGCATGCGCCACTGACTGAACCAGCCAGGCACTCCCAAATTGATTTTTTAAGATTTATTTATGCGCAAGTGAGCAGGGTGAGGGGCACTGGGAGAGGAGAATCCCCAGAAGACTCCCCACTGAGCATAGAGCCCCACACAGGGCTTGATCTCCCAACCCCAAGATCACGACCTGAGCTGAAATCAAGAATCAGACACTTAACTGATTGAACCACTCAGGCAACCCCCCCAAACTCAATTTTTAAAAAATTTTTATTAATTATTTTTATTAACATATAATGCATTATTTGCCCCAGGGGTACAGGTCTGTGAACTGTCCGGCTTACACATTTCACAGCACTCACCATAACACATACCTTCCCCAAGGCCCATAACCCAACCACCCTCTCCATACCCCTTCCTCCCAGCAACCCTCAGTTCGTTTTGTGAGATTAAGAGTCTCTTATGGTTTCTCTCCCTCCTGATCCCATCTTGTTTCATTTTTTCCTTCCCTACCCCCTAAACCCCTCACTTTGCCTCTCAAATTCCTCATATCAGGGGTACCTGGGTGGCTCAGTGGGTTAAGCCTCTGCCTTTGGATCAGGTCATTACCTCAGGGTCCGGGGATGTAGCCCCGCATCAGGCTCCCTGCAAAGTGGGGAGCCTGCTTCCGCCTCCCCCTCTGCCTGCCTCTCTGCCTACTTGTGATCACTCTCTCTCTCTGTCAAATAAGTAAATAAAATCTTTTTAAAAAATTCCTCATATCAGAGAGATCATATGATAATTGTCTTTCTCTGATTGACTTATTTCGCTCAGCATAATACCCTCTAGTTCCATCCATGTTGTTGCAAATGGCAAGATTTCATTTCTTTTGATGGCTGCATAGTATTCCATTGTGTATATATATACCACATCTTCTTTATCCATTCATCTGACCCCCAAACTGTTTTTAAAAGGACATAGCATCCTACTGAAAAATGGACAAAAGACTTGAACAGGCATTTCATAAAGGATAGAGAATATATGGAAACATATGTAAAAGGGCTCAGCTTCATTAGTACCTGTGAAACCACAATGAGATCCCATTTCCACTCACCAGAACGGCTCAACTGGAAATGATCCAGGCAATACACCAAGCTTGTGCTGTGGTGACAATGGAACAACGGGGTGTCACCCACGCTGTGGGTGGGAGTGTCCATTGGTGCAAATTGACAGTGTAACGGGATACTGTTCGACACTATGTACCAAAGCTGAGTATGCACACGTGTTCCATATTCAGCAACCCCACTCCTAGGCACACACCCAACAGAGATGCACAGAGATGTTCCCCCAAAGACGCAGACCAGAATGTTCATAGCAGCGTTATTGAGAACAGCCAAAACCAGAATCGAACCTGAACGTCCCGGACACTAGCATAAGTAAGTTCGGTACACTCATCCACGAACTATTAGGGGCAATGAGAACACACAAACTACTGTTAACATAACAGCTTGGATGAACCTCCCGAAATTAGTGAAAGGAGTCAGATAGAAAAGAGCATATATCGTATCATGGATCAAATGAATCCAATCACGTTTTATTCCATTAAGTTAAAAAAAAAAACAAAAACAACAACAAAAAACGAACAATCTGATCTGTGATGGTAGAAGTCAGGACTGAGGTTACTTTGAGGATTTGGCCAGGTGCCGAGAAGCTTCTAGTCCCACATCTGAGTGCTGGGTATACAGGTGTGTTCACTTTGTGAATATTCGGGAGCTGTATACCATGGTGTGCGATTTTTAAAAAATGTATATTATAATGCAGTAAAAGTTAAGAAAATGGCCTAAACACCAAAAGGGGTCCACATTTGGAGGGGACTGGGGTTCAGTTAAGTGATGCTCTGACAGTGTAGGTCCTCAGCGACAAGTGGCTGAGACAGAATGAAAACGGAACCTTCACATTCAAATTGAATGACCAAGATAGAAAACAATCAACCATTTATAGAACCGAGGAAAGTCGGGAATGAATCCCAGACCATCTTCCTACCAGAGTCTGTATTGGAAAGGGCGGGGGAATAGGCTAAAGGAACCCATGGTATTAGAAATCAGGATAGCGATTCCCTTTGCAGTGACACAGCGATGAGAAAGCGGCAGTGGGGCCTCAGGGACAGGTGTGTTCACCTGTAGACATTTATCAAACTGTCCCCTCATGCTTTCCAGGCCTTTCCCTAGCTACATTATACTTCAATAGCTTCTTTTCTTTTTCTTTCTTTTTAAGTGTAGGCTCTGTCATCAGATAGATCTATGTTTCAACCCAGTTCTACAATTCACTGTAAATTACTTAACCTCTCTGGACCTGTTTCCTCATCTGGAAAATGGGGATGATAATTCCCACCTTATGGGGCTGCCGGAGTAAATGAGATGTCGGGAAATTCTTGGTCTCAGGCTTGACGAGACTGAGTACGCAAGAAATGCTGGTTATGATCCCATCTTGCAGATGAGCAAACTCAAGCCCAGAGAGGCTCCTCTGTCCAAAGTGGGATTTGAACCTGTTCTCTCAGACTCCATCACATCACTCCTTGGAGAGCTTTGAAGGAGTCTGGGGCCCAGCACTGCCCCTGGCTTCCTGGAGCCCCCACGTCCATATCTGAGCCTTCAGGGCCGCTCTGGAAATCCTATGGGCGGCCCCAGAGCCCCGCACCTTCTGGAATCACAAGGACTAAGTTCCGGCACCACCACTCACTAGCGCCAGTGCTCTGGGAGGTCGGGAGTCAGGCCCACCCAGCTTCCAGGCCCAGCCCTGCTGCTTCAGGGCAGATGAACTTGGGCAAGTGTCTTCACCTCTCTGTGCCTCGGTTTCTTCTCTAAAACAGGGAGCACTGTGTGAGGATAACATGGAGTATGCGAAGAGCTTAGCCTGACACCTGGTCGGTGGTAACTGCCCCAGACAAAGCAGCTACTGTTACAATCACGATTAC